TTCTCACCCACAGGGGAGGGGCCCGCCCACCCTGACGGGACTGGCCCCGCGTGGTAATGCCACACGCCCATCGCTGCACACCAGAGGGGCGTTTGCACGGCGTGCGCCCAGGGAGGGGCCTCGCCCACCCTGACGGGACTGGCCCCGCGTAGCAGTGCCACACGCCCATCGCTGCTCACCAGAGGGGTGTTTGCACGGTGTGCACCTGGGGAGGGGCCTCGCACACCCTGAAGGGACTGGCCCCGTGTGGTAACGCCACACGCCCATCGCTGCACACCAGAGGGGTGTTTGCACGGCGTGCGCCTGGGGAGGGGCCTCGCACACCCTGACGGGACTGGCCCCGTGTAGCAGTGCCACACGCCCATCGCTGCACACCAGAGGGGCGTTTTCACGGCGTGCACCCAGGGAGGGGCCTCGCACACCCAGACGGGACTGGCCCCGCGTAGCAGTGCCACACGCCCATCGCTGCTCACCAGAGGGGTGTTTGCACGGTGTGCACCTGGGGAGGGGCCTCGCACACCCTGAAGGGACTGGCCCCGTGTGGTAACGCCACACGCCCATCGCTGCACACCAGAGGGGTGTTTGCACGGCGTGCGCCTGGGGAGGGGCCTCGCACACCCTGACGGGACTGGCCCCGTGTAGCAGTGCCACACGCCCAATGCGCCCGGGGAGGCTCGTGCCCAGGGCAGCGTGTCGGCTGAGGGTGCTGTGGATTCCTCCTTTGAGGGAAGCTCTGGAGCAGCCTTCCAAGGGGAGTCCTGGGGCAAACTCTGACTTGCCTCCAGGCTGAGCTTGATCAGGGCAGGGGCTTCATGCGATCGCCCCCAGTGGCATCTTAGTCCACAGCTGCCCTTAGCGTGTATCTCCGGGGGGGGCTCTGAGTGACGACAGAGCATTCTCTCCAGGGGCTGGCTGGTGGGGCGCCCTCACTGACACCCCCAGGGCAGAGCGGCAGAGCCCGGGGGATTCTCCTTCCTGTGCAGTGTGGGGCCCGCGTCACTGGCTGGCGGGGGCTACTGTGGGCGTCGGTGCGAGGTCGCCAGCAACTCGGCCGGAGGTGCTAGGCAGTGGGGAGGGGCTGGGCTCGTGACAGTCCCTGGTGGCCTTAAAGTCCAGCGGTAGGGAGCTGCAAGCCAGAAATGTACAGGCAGAATTGCTTCTAAACAGACGGGGGCAGTGAGTTCCCCCGGGGCACCCACCGCTTCCCAGCTAACCTGGGTCCTTTGAAAGTAGAAATGCTCAGGCGGAAACCAGCATTTCCTCCCGAGAGCCCCGGTGGAGCTGGGCTGAGCCATCCCCGGCTGCACATCCCCCGGCGGGCGTCTAAAGAGCAGTTCCAGCGACGCCGATGTGCTTTATCTGAACCCTAGGAGAGAATAATCATGGGGCTGAAGGCAGCACGTTCCCAGCTAACCTGGGTCCTTTGAAAGTAGAAATGCTCAGGCGGAAACCAGCATTTCCTCCCGAGAGCCCCGGTGGAGCTGGGCTGAGCCATCCCCGGCTGCACATCCCCCGGCGGGCGTCTAAAGAGCAGTTCCAGCGACGCCGATGTGCTTTATCTGAACCCTAGGAGAGAATAATCATGGGGCTGAAGGCAGCACGGCGCAGGCCAGGGGCTTGTGCTGATGCAGGCGGCGCACGTGCCCGGGAGTCATTCTGAACAGCGCCTGCAAACTTCTACCAATCACCCCAGGGAGCCCCGTGCGCTGCTGCTCCTGCGCCTGGGCTCCAGTTTCGGACAAGCCGTGAAAGGCTGCTGGCAGTGGGACCTCCCCACCGCCTAATAGGGACTCGGTCAGCTGGGTGGCTGGGGCCAGGTGTTCCTGTCTCCCCTTGGTCTCTCTGCTGATCGGGCATTTTGTACAACAACCGTTATGTGATGGCAAATGCAACTCACTGCAAGATTTAAATGTTTGGTGCTGTGCAGGGTGGGTGGGACGCTGGGGGCAGTGCTGCAGTGTAGGGGCACTGGGTGGGCAGTGCTGCAGTGCAGAGTGGGCGGGACGCTGGGGGCAGTGCTGCAGTGTAGGGGCACTGGGTGGGCAGTGCTGCAGTGCAGAGTGGGCGGGACGCTGGGGGCAGTGCTGCAGTGTAGGGGCACTGGGTGGGCAGTGCTGCAGTGCAGAGTGGGCGGGACGCTGGGGGCAGTGCTGCAGTGTAGGGGCACTGGGTGGGCAGTGCTGCAGTGCAGAGTGGGCGGGACGCTGGGGGCAGTGCTGCAGTGTAGGGGCACTGGGTGGGCAGTGCTGCAGTGCAGAGTGGGCGGGACGCTGGGGGCAGTGCTGCAGTGTAGGGGCACTGGGTGGGCAGTGCTGCAGTGCAGAGTGGGCGGGACGCTGGGGGCAGTGCTGCAGTGTAGGGGCACTGGGTGGGCAGTGCTGCAGTGCAGAGTGGGCGGGACGCTGGGGGCAGTGCTGCAGTGTAGGGGCACTGGGTGGGCAGTGCTGCAGTGCAGAGTGGGCGGGACGCTGGGGGCAGTGCTGCAGTGTAGGGGCACTGGGTGGGCAGTGCTGCAGTGCAGAGTGGGCGGGAGGCTGGGGGCAGACAGGACACTGGGCTGGGTGGGTCTTGGTCTGAGCCAGGCTGGCCGCTCTGATGTTCTTCTGCTGTAAGTCCAGGAGTTTTCCCTTCCTTTGCCGGGCTGAGGGGCTGAGTCCCTGCCTCTTTGCCCCTGCAGCGGTAGAACTGGGAGGCTGGAGTGCCGCGGTGGGCCATGTGTGAGTGGCTGGGGGCGGTGGGAGGAATCTGACCCTGGTCACGGCAGCAGTGCCCACGTCCCAAGGAAGGACGTGAGCCCAGGAGTGGGTCCCGGAGCACAGCGTCCTAGCTGGGCTCTACCCATGTGGGCCTGGTGGCCGTCCAGGGGGCTGGGCCGTGTGGGGCCAGCCAGTGTGAAGCCTTGGACACAAGAACGACGTGAGAGCTGCAGGTGGGGTTGGGCTGCGTTTGCCCAGGGCCACGGGGAGCCCAGTGAGGAGTGTGTGTTACGGGCCCCCCACTGGACCCAGCCCCCACCACGGCAGCTTGACCCGTCTGCGGCTCTGCTGGCCCCACGCACGCGGCAGGGGCCGTCCGGGGGCGCCCGCGGCCCTGCCCCGCGGCCTTGGTCCACAGGTGGGCTGAGGGAGACCAGCGCCTCCTAGTGGTCCAGACCTGGTACTGCGCCTGAGCGCCCACGCGCACAGAGCCTCCGCCAAGGGGGGCACGGGGCTGCATGTTCCCTACGCACCCTGCACCCGCAGACTCACGGCCAGGCCCCTCACGTGGAGCCTTATGTAAGTGGGACTGAAGGCAGGAGGGGCACGTGGCTCCCCGCACGTCGGTAGCGCTGGTGCACGTGGGTTTAACCTGCCTGAGTGGGCGGGAGGCTCCGTCACAGGGAAGGCGTCCAGCCCACAGCCTACCCAGGCCCCCCAGTGTGTCTTTGCACCCTGCTCTCTGTGGCCAGCAAGCCCTAACTGGCGTTCCCCTTGGTCTCTTCCAGGTCGCAGTGAGCAGCAGGCAGGAGGCCATGGCTCAGTACCCAGCGCCGGGAAGAGCGAGGAAGGTTCGTCGTGGATAATACCAGAGATTCCTG